AAGGAAAGGGAATTCCTAAGTGTTGGAAAATTTGAGTCTTGTAAAGGTTACAAGCATAGTGAAAAATCTCAAGTGGGAGACTTGAGGACTAGATGTAGGCAAGGTTGGCCGAACCAGTATAAAATCAAGTTTGCAATTCTCTTTCCCTATACTTTTAATTGTGATTGTGAAGTTTTTGCATCATTACATACAATTTTTTTATGATATTGAATTAATAAGAAAGAATTTCTAAAAAACTCATAAAGGAAGAAAAATTAGATAACTTAATTCACCCCCCTTAAGTTATACGAGGCTACTTGACTAACATCTTTCACAAACATGCTCAGATGTCAACATGGTGCAGTCACTTGTACCAATATGTGAGGTAGCCTATCATGATTATTCTTTCTATATCTCTATTTTGTCATGTTACATTGTCTGGATTTCTTCTAAATTAATTGCCTTATATTATTTCAGGAACAACAGAAACGGACTGGGATTCAGGAGACTACCATGCGTTCTGATCATTGCAAACCACTTCCAGAAGATGTTACGGAACTTTTCTCTGTTGGTCTTGACTTTGAGAAAAAAATTATTGAATTGTGCAGTGAAGCTGAAGCCTCTTTATTTTGTACTCCTCCTGGGAAGGAATTGAGGTTTGTATGCAGCTATTCTCACACGATGGAAAATTTATTAAATTTTGCACATGTGAAGCATAACAATCCTTGAATTGTTGCAGAGAAATAGACATAATTGGATCAGCATCTCCACCAGCTTCATTATGCAAAAATGCCTTGTGTATAGTTTAGAATATCATAGAATATCTTAACACCTTGAATTGTTGCAGAGAAACAGACATAATTGGCTCATTATCACCACCAGCTTCATTATGCAAAAGTGCCAAATTGCATGAGGAAGGGACTGACACAAGTCTTGAAATGTTGACTATGGATGAAATCCGATCATCTGAAATGATTGGAACGTTGGACATAAAGGCAGTAACTTTTTCCTTATTTTTCTTCTATCTTTAACAATATATTCTCATAGTTATGCTTAACTTTTCTTTTAACAAAATAATCTTCTTCAGTGGTTGGGTATTGTTGAGTAGTGTTTAATTCATAGGGTATGTGTGTGTCTGTTTGTTTTCTCTCTATTATGTATATACATTACCTATAAAATAACTAAAATACTTTTCCTCCCACCTTTTTCTGAAGAAGATATATCTTTCTGCGATCAGTTGCTCCGCATGTAGTCAGGATACCATGAATGATTTAAACAGAAGGATTGTTTTATGTTAAATCTATGTTACCTGCAAAACAACAAAAGTACTTTTCCTCCCACCCCTTTCTCAAAATATATCTTGCTGTGATCAGTTGTTCTGCATCTAGTCAGGATCCCATGAAAGACCTGTTCAGAAGGGTTGTTTTATGTTGAATCCTCTATCTTCCTGTAAATCCTTGCATGGAATCACATACCTTGACTAATATTTTTTATTGTTGATTCTCTAGATCCTAATTACTAAATTGTGTAATTTTTTTTTTTATTATTTTTCTGGTGCGCATTCACGTGCTGCAATATACCTGAACATTAATCCCAATGATTTCATACACTGCTTAATCTCCTTTACAAGAGTTGATAAAAATT